TGTAGCAGGCAACTAAGCCACATTGTCAAATGTAATTGTAAAAATTATTAAGATAAAGCTCAGTAAATACATGTTGTTGACCCCTGCAACTTCTGTTTGAAAGGCTGTTGCAAAACCACTTGCCTCTGTATTTTGGGGTAATATTTCCAATGCTTTTTGATCATTAGAATGGGAGAGGCTAATTCTCAAGAACAGACTTACAAAGAAACAAAAATTACTTTTGACTTGCAAATTTCTCCCTATTAGCTACAGTTCATGGACTTAATACTCTTCAGGGATTTTCTTTCATATTGTGCATGTATTTCAGGGTTTTTTCACATACTTTTTTATATTTTAAAATGAACTAAGTATTTGTGGGCAGGATGTTTGGAAACGCTAGTTGCTTTTTTTTCCCTCTGTCAACTTTTATTTCATTTCCCACGGTGTTGCAGATACCAAGTAGAACAAAGCAGAAGGTTCCCTATTATGATTTTGTTTGATGTACTACAAATTAATTTACAGACTCAGAGATAGCTGCTGGGAAATGAAGGATTGGTTTTGTTTGGTCAGTGAAGATGACAGGCATGGATCAAATAAGGGTTAACAATAATGCACTTGAGCAGATTGAATCAGAACATAATGCATGTATTGAATTTGATTGCAACATGCATGACCATGGAAAAGTTTTTTGTTTAAAAGAAATCAAGGCTGTGGCTTAATTATCAAAGCAAAACAGGAGACATAAAGAGCTACATGTTTCTGATACTGCTTTTTTCAAAAATAGCTCCCTTCACACAGTTATCTACATGTTTAATTTCCATGCATAATAGCAACAGTTATTGTTGTCATTTGTTACAGGAGATTAACAGATAGCAAGTACAAACAAACGCAAATAAGGCCTGAATAGAAAGGTGACAGAGAAGAAAAGACCTCTTTACTGTTAATTATAACTGGTGGGAAGTCTATACAAATGACATTAACTGTTTTCTGTATGAATTGAAGTGGCATCCAGTTTGTTAGTATCTACTCAACGCATTTGGGCATTTTATTTAGACAGTAACTTAAATCTTCATGTTTTGAATATAGTTTTTATTGAGAAATGTACTGCTCAGTAAAAATTTATATGTTTTGATCATGATTTCTTAGCTGAAAACAAGCATAATAGTAAGCTGTTAAGTAGTTATTTTTATCTTAAGCTATGCTTTTGAGTTTAATCAAGGGGTTTTCAGTCTTTTTTTCACCTGTTTTTTGTGACCAGCAGAACCTCCCAGTGCTTTCTTCAACAGTGACTGAAACAATTGCATAAAGAAACTTGCTTCAAATGTCATTATTCAGTGGTAGTTTGAGAGGACCTTCTATGCATTCCTTTATAAGACAAGCTGTACCTTGTGAGTCCTTTGTTTCATAATTGTTAGCTAAAAAGGCCAATAGGTGGCAGAAAACACAGTTACTTTTATCATACATTATTTTCATGGTTGTCTGTTTTTGAGTATTCTGTTCAGCTGAAGCTGGGATGCTGCTCCCATTCCAGGCTTTGTTTTTTCAGTTGCACTTGCATTCCCTAACAAAATATCTTACTATCTGGCAGTTTCCATTATTTGTTTTTCTAATATAACAAATTGCTTCAAAGTTCAGATGTAGTCAATTAATATGTTTTGAGTCATGAATGTTCTCTTTGTGCACACAGAATCTTTTCATAGTTACAGCTGAAAAAATGATGCTCTTCAACAGGAGGGTTTTGGAATGGGTGAGGACACTCTCCACACCTCCCCCTGCCTGCCTGTGTATTTTAAGGTGCTGTTTATATCAGATTGCTGCCAGATGTTTCATAGGAGGTAGAGATGCCACAGAATAAACAAATTTCCAAACAGTCTTTTGTCTCTAAAAAATTAACTTTATCCAAGATCTGTGAGAATTCATTGTCCTTACAAAACTGTTTTTGTTTTCCCTCACAATGGCTCTAACTATATTCTTGGTACTCAGGTGAGTGCCTGAAGATCTCAATGCTATTCTTTAGTAGCTTTTTTTTGGTAGAAAGTTATTCCGTGTCTGTTTAAACTGAGTTATTTAATCAGTGTGACACAACATAATAAACACCTACCTCTTTTAAAGGAAATCTTGGGTTCATTTGCAAAACCAAAGCCAAGGCCTGTCTTTTTCACTTGAGGCTCATTTGTGCCTGTTGACTTCAGAAGACACAGGTCAGGTGTGTGTGTTAGGTCAGGCCCTAAGTCAGGATTTCTCACGGTGAACCATGTGTTGATGAAGTAGCTCAGTCTTGGTGAGCAGTGTCTTGTGTTGCTAACGTCAGTTCTGAAGTATTTGTCATAAATAAATTGTATATATCAAAGAAAGTGGTACTAGGACTGGTAGGGCAACAGTTGTGCAAGAGACCAAATCACTGGTGTTTGAATTCTTGACATTTTCTCACTGTGCAGTTTTAAATGTCATGATTTACAGTACTGATCTACATAACAAGAAAGTTCACACTTAGTGGTCAGATGCACTGATCATACTGTTTCCAAAATCCCTTACTTTATTAAGAGGGTCTGGAACAGGGATGATTTCCTCATCCCAAAATCTGTTAGGTGAATTGCTTTTAGAGATGCTTTTTTCTTCGTCAATGTACTATAAATGGATCATAGGGTAAGGTAATGGATAATAATGGATAAGCTTAAACCGGGTATCAGACTTTAGATGTCAGAGTTGGGTGAAATGAATCTAGCTGCATGTGTAAATACACTCTTTCCATTCCTGCACTATGGCTTAAACACTTACTTCAAGAAGTACTGCATACATTGCTGTGATGTTCTCCATACAGATTTTCTGGTCTGCCCACATGGACATAAAAGCTCTGCTCTGCAAGGGCAGCAGGAAGTGTTCTGATAGATTTGGCACCAAGTAGGATAATATTGAGTATATGACATGGCTGTAAAAATGGTGAAAGGAGAAGTCTCTGGAATAAATGGAGTCATTTGGAAAGGAATTGAGATTTCATATTAAAAAGATAAAGAAAAACTCAAATAGTCTTGGAGCACTTGTGAAATTATTATAGAATATATTTTTTAGTTGAAATCCAAGTGGAAATTAGGTAGAAGTTGTTGCCAGAGCATAACATTGGGACAGCTTGTCAAAGAGCTAGTGAGAATGGAAGCAAGCAATGTTTTGAGTTGTCCTCTGATTCATAACATTTCTGTCAAAGTACTAGGAATCCAAGTATGGTTGGATTTAACTTTGGTGCAGGAGCAACAAAAAATTTGGAAATGGGCAAAAATAACCAGTCACAATTTCCAGCACAGACATCACCAGCCAATAATCTGAAATGCAGTTTTACAGGGCTGAGCTCCTCAGGGTGGTAAAAGCAGGAAGTTCTTGAGAAGAGTGGCAGGAAGACTAAGTAGACTTCTCAGTTAACAACAGAAGCTTAAATGCTCTGCCAAGTAAGGTGAAGTGAGGAAATGCTAAAAACCCAATCTTAATTGTCCAATATATGTATTGGCCTAGTAGGGAAGAAAAGAATTAAAATTATTGAAAAATAATAAATATCTTTCTGGATATGACTGCTCAGTGCCCAAATGCTTGGTAGAGTGCTCTAGGCAGACAGACATTGAGGAGAGAGAGGAGCAGAGAACAAGATGGTAAATACCATTTTGTTCCTGTATAAATTCATGTTCATCTGTGTCTGGAATACAGTGTGCAGTACTGGTTTCATCTCCCTCTCTCTTGTCCAATTTTCCACCACTCCCTCATTTCCAAAAAGACCTGAGAGAGATTCAGAGGAGAGCAACCAAGATTTGGAGTGGTTTCCAGGCAAGGAACAACTAAGTAAATTAGGACTGTGGTTTGGAAAAGACTTTGATTGAAGGTGATGTGATGGAGGTCTGTAAAATCATGAGTGGCACAAAGAAGGTGAATGCAGAATGATTATTCCTAGTCTCTCCTGATGCAAGAACTAAAAAATATTAAAAGAGAAGCTGTGTGCATGTGTGTGTGTTTTCAAGAAAAATAAAGTACTTTTTCCATGTAGTTTATAGTTGTGCTGCAGGGATGTTGCAGATTATAAACTTTACATGGGTTTGAAAAGCATTTGAAGTTAATTTGGCTTATGAATGCATTAATTCAGTCACTACTGAATATAGAGACAGGGATTCAGGCGGCCCTTGAGGTATTCCTAAAAGCTGGGAAAATTTTTGGAAGAGTTTTACTGTGTCCTCTGTCTTTTGTCATTCCTTAAGTATCTTCTCTTGGTGGCTCTTAGGGACGAGGTGTGGCATTGTTTTTAGCCTATGGTTGAACCTGGCACAAAAAGTTCATCCTTACCAATTCTGGAATCATTCCTTCTTGCATACTCTTAAGAGAAGCCTTTTGCATTGTCTCCCTGAGCTGACATAGAGCAAATTGGTTAAGATTTTATTTCATTTTAATTCAGCAAAATGTTAGATTTTCCTAAATGAATCAGTTTATGTTGAAGTCTTGGAACTTCCTGGAAAAAAAAAACCGACAAAAAAACCCAACAAAAACTTAAAAAAGAAGAAAGGAAAGCTTCTGTCTGTCATCAGAAAACAGAAAACTGTTTCTTCCCTCTAAAGTGGAAGCAAAGAGATGACATTTTACTTAAATATTTAATTTATTACAAGTCTTGCTGAATGGAGTGGAGTGTCTTGCTGAATAGTGTACATAGCTGGATAAAATTCTTCTGGTGTATGTTAGTGTTGTAACCGGAGAAGAGAAAAGCAGAGGCTTTGGTATATTTCAAAGAAGGGATAACTGCAGTATGCAGAGTGTGGGATTTTGAAGCAAGAAGACTCCAGCTTTGTTGTCTGCCATTAATTGTGTTTAAACAAAGTCCTTGAAGGACTTCATCTCTTCATACATATTACAGTATCAGCTTCACAGAGGATGTTATGGTTGGGATATTTTTCTTCCTTGACTATGATGCATTTTTTAGGTGGAATAAAACAATCAATAACTTACATTTAGGATAAAAAAATGATTTTTTTCTGTGTTCTGCCTTTCTGCAG